GGGTGATCCAAGAAGCCAATGGGATGCAATTCATTCCCCAGCAGTGTGAAGCCAAACAAACACTCCACTTAATGATGTGTCCCAACAAATGCTGATTTGAACCACTGATGAACAAGAATACAACAGTCTTCTGTCTACACTCAAAGCTATAGCCATACCCTTTTCTTCTTCTTCTTCTTCTTCTTCTTCTTCTTCTTCTTCTTCTTCTTCTTCTTCTTCTTTTCTCCCTCTCCTTCTTCTCTTTCACCTCCCTCTCTCTCTTCTTCTTAACATTTTATTTATTAGTGAACATCAACTTCACTGATGAACAAGAATATGTCTTCTGTATACCCTCAAAACTATAGCCCTACACTTTCATCTTCTTCACTTTTGAAGATGGATAGGTTGCCTACAAGTATGCAAATGTATATGTACATGCATATTCCTTCAAATATGGGTACACACAAGTAATAAACAAGTGTTTTTAAACAAGTTATTAAATCTTTGTTACAATCAAGAAAGATATAACGTAATATGGTCTTTTGAATTATTTCTTAACTATAATTTTAACTTTTTTACAAGAAGCAAATAAACACGATTGAATATCATATTCACAAATAAGATTGATTAATGTAAATCACATTTGAATCTAGAAAAATTCTGAGGAACATTACAAGTTTTAAAAAACTAATTACTAATCTTCCCTGTCACAAAATAAATTAAAAAATATCATAGCATCATATTTAAGTAGCATTACCACAAAAGAAAATCCTTTCTCAATTTATTCATATTCTGTTAGAGAACAACTTGGCCAAAGTTAATGAAAGTTTTCTTTGCCTTCTCTGAAGGAAATAAGTATCATTGTAATATTATCAAGGATACATGAAAAATGTACAAGAATATGGCTATATAAGTCTAGTTTTCAGTATCTGACACACATACACACAAAAATTGATGTATTACATAATATCCTCATGAGCATGTGCAGAAGGGGCAAAGGAGAAGTGGGTGGGCTGTGGACACCTGAAAATTTTGAAACGGCCTGTAGCTCCACAAAATTAAATAATATATTTCTGATAATAAGCTTCATCCCTAATAAAAAAGATTTAATGAAAAAATCATTTAAAACATACTCTGACAAAACCAAGTGGATGGACACTGTATGTTGTCCCTTAATCTATGATAAGTATTGATATGTCATTTGGTCAACAAACACAATACAGACCAATTGGTCTTTTTTGTACTACTTGTAAGCATCTTTGCATCAAAAAAGAGAGACAATTAATGCACTGCCTATTATTTCAGTATTAAAATATTTTCCAGGCACAAAGGCCCTGGTACCCAAACATGAATAAATCTTGTTTTCAAATAAAACAATAGAGAATAAAATGTATTTGAATAAGTTATTTGCTCGTTAATTAATATAGACTATTTATGAAATTACACAGGCAATTTTTTATTTTTATTTTGGAAGAACCTATTTTAAGTGCCTAATTAGATTTTAGCACCTGAGAGGAATTACATGTTTGGATAAAAAAGAAACACCAAAATCAGAAAACAACTCAAAGCAAAAAATATAGTGGATGACAGTGAAGAAAACCAGCAGAGATTGCTTTCACATGTGCGGAGAATGCAAGCAAAGAGATTTCTGAAAGCAGTTTTAAAGTATAAACCCGTAGGGCAATGAAATATAGGAAGACCCAAAAAAAAAGATGGATTGCTCAGGAACATCTGGAGGAATAATCTTCAGATCTAGCAGGTTTATTCATGGATCTTTCAAAGGCATTTGATAGTGTATCTCATGAGAAACTGCTGGCAAAACTTGATTATTATGGAAGATATTCCAAGCTCATCTGATTTCTCTGTAATTTCTTATGCAGATGACACATAAGTAGTGGGCAAAATCTTTGACATCTGGAAGCTAATCTGACTGAATCATTAAAATCAATTAAAAGATATTTGTCCATAAATGAATTGAAATTAAACCTTATAAAACTATATTAATCAACTTCAAGTTTCATCACAGTCACCAACACCAAAACATAAAAGTGGAAGTAGACTATGAATCAGTGAACCAAACTGATTGTCATAAGTTCTCAAGAATATTCATAGATCAAAACCTAATGTATAACAAACAAGTTGACACATTTTGTGATAAACTCTAATATTCTAATAATAACTCTTGAGATACCTGGAAATTGATGCACTTATTTCAGTATATTATGGGACAATCTTCTCTCAATTTCAATACGTCATTGAAATTTGGGGTGGCAAAACACAAAAAAATATGGATAGATTAATGGTCCTACAAAAGATATGTATAAGAAACATTTTTAAACTGAATCCCAGTTGGTCCTGTAAATATTTCTTTATTAAATATGAATTACTCACTGTTGTAGCACTCTACTCTTACAAAGTAATATTGCTATTGAGAAATAATCAAAATCAATATTTTGTGAGCAATAAAGAGATACATAACCACCATACTAGAGGACATAGTGACTACCACAGGATATACACTTGCAAGTCTTCAACAAAAATCCTTTCTGCATTGCTGCACAGCTCTTTAATAAACTCCCAGTTAAAATAAAAACTAGTGATGATAAATACTTCAAAACACTGCCTAAACATCATCTTATTAGTGTGTGTTCATACAAGATATCTGAATTGCTTTAACTTTCTGTAATTAAAAACCATGTACCTCTACAAGAGTGACCACTCATTGTTAGTTAAACCTGTCATCATTCAGTCCAATAAGGCAATGCACTATTCAGTAATGTAGTAAATAATGTAATTATAAGTCAAGATATTTTTATTAATGTAATTATTATCATTAATCATACACCTAATGTATTAAATTTATTGTAAGTTATTTAAACTGCTATTGTAAGACAAGGGAATTACTTACTCTAATTGTAAGCTATTTGCTACTATCATAATCTACTAGTTTATTGTTAATGTTATTTGTTATGTGTTAATGAGGGTTTGTATAGTTTAAAATGTAATTTACCTTAATATTTATTATGAGCAATTGCATTATTATTCATGTAATTCATTGAGTAAATAATTTGCATTATTACTGTAAATTATGTAATCGAATGTAACTCATTATAATTTAAATTAATGTAATGTAATATATTAATCAATTAGGTATATTTTTATCATGTAATTTAGAAAGATAATGTAAAATTATTACATTATTATTGAAAGTTAATGAAATTAACTCACTGTAATTTTAATTATTTCTAGACTGACTTTTCTTGATACTTTACATAAGTTTATAAGCAATAAAAAATTATAATAATTTATTATTATTATTATTATTATTGTTGTTGTTGTTGTTGTTGTTGTTATTATTATTATTATTATTATTATTATTATTATTATTATTATTATTATCTACAATCCAGGAATAGACACTAGACCTACTATCCTGCTGTTCATGATGATGATTAGATTTTAGAGTTGAAATATCTAAAGACTGATATATCTTTAATCTTCGTGTAATCATCTACAAATAATTTTATTTATTTGCGAGATGAATATGCCATATGTAAATTAAATAGTTAAACAGAAAATGGGGCTCAAAAATATAGCTGAGATCTCTTGTTTTTGATTAATCTGCACATCTGCACATATGAATATTATGCTATTGCCTTACTTCAATAAAATTATTCCACTTATATTACTAGATATCAAAATAGTTATTTATGATATGAGTGGTAAAAGTGACATTTTATGTTGCTAGCAGGAAAATGTGATATGAAGCCAACAGGCCAAGTGGTGCAATCTTAGTGGCAAAATAAAATATCTTTTACTATGTGTGTCATACACTAATTTTTACACACCATTATTGACTTTCATGTTATTTTAATTCAAGTACACAAATCACTTAATGATACATCAAAAGTCAGTAGTAGATGATGCGAACAGATGAAAGTTCAGTCACAATTGCTCAATGCGGAACATGTATAATACGGAAATGTGTCTAATGTGAACATAAATCACGTTCGAACCACACATAAATTCTACAGTATTATGTTCCATAATGCGGAATCTTGTCTCTTACAAAAAAATATTGCTCCCTTGAGATTCCACATTCAGCAAATTTTACTGTACTTTGTTTTCACACAATTCCCACAACTTCTTTGTCGCATTCACAATTTTATCTAAACATTTGAACTTCATCTCACTTTTAGCACTAGTGCTAAAAATTAAACTTTTAGCACACTACACATACCCTGAAAGAACCCCTTTCCCTTTCACTACTGTTTGTATATAAACAAACTTTTAAGAATATTGTATTTTAAAATACAGAAGAATTTATTTTATTTAAATTGTAGTGAGAGCAAAAATACACATTAGAAAGAAATCTTAGGAAGGTTTCTTAGAACTAGTGTAACATTAGAATTCTATAGTAGTTCCCTTACAGAATTTGTCCACACTTGTATGAAAAAAATGTTTAATGAAATATTTATTTATATTTTAAATTTATTAATGAAATTTATCATCCCACTGAATAGACTGTAAGCTTGCTCCAAAAAACTCTGACACTCCACGTATCATCCATTAAATAATTTTGTTTTGCTCAGGAAGGACCCTTTCAAATTTTCTGCAAGGGAATCTTTTAGTCTTGAGGTTCTTTTACATGTTGTGAATATGAAACATAAAATTGACTAATTTACTTCCCTTCTTAAGAAAGAGGTCTTTATAACTTACTATGTACAAAAATAGTATAACAACTAATCAGCAATCCAGCAAATATTTTTGTTTTCTGGTTGTGTGTGTGTATGTATCATAGTCATTTGTTAAATGCCAAACATATTTGTTATTTATTGAAAATGTTTGTAGTGTAAGTATAATACTATGGAATATTATTATTTAAATAATTACATAATTCTAACAAATAAATATTTAAATAAATTTTGGCAAATAAAGAAGGTAACCATTGTTTTTCTCTAGGTCTTTTGGCAAGGGGGAGGGCACTGCAATGTCCCCCTGGATCTGCCACTGCAACTAATTCATTTTTTTTTGTTTTGTGAAGCATTTTCAGCCTTGAGTTCTGCTTCTATTTCCAATGCACGAGCTTTCCGTTTTCCTATTGGTGTTTTTGAAAACCATTGAATAAATGCTTCTTCTTCTTCCTTGTAAATGGGATCGTATTTGCACAATACATTAATGAGCTCAACATGAGTGAGAGGATGGACCTGAAGTTGTAAAACCCGTTTACAAGTCATCACTTCTTTAATGACTTTCAAAATATTACCAACTGTGTATCCATCTGATATTTTTGCCATAGCCGCAGTGTCAAACTGACGATTTACACTACTGAACTGAAACAATTGTTCTTTCCATATTAGAGATAAACTACCATAATCAGGACGAGGGATCATTATGAATTTATTGTACGTCTGGGCAAGGGATTTCTGATCACAATCCCAAGGGCAATGAGATACACCAATCAACATAATTTGATCTTCAGGTCCTATTCCTTTAACAATCTTTGGTAAATCTTTCTTCAGTCTTTTGGGATCAGTTTTATCAGTTTTGGGAACTTTTTTCATAAATGGTTTCTCAGCACCATCCATATAAATAATAGCTGGTTGCAAAAGTCTTGACACCTTGTTAACTAAATGAACCAACATAATCAAACCTGACTTTCCAGGATATTTACCAACGATATTAGCAGGAGATAAGTCAAAAAGGACTGCTCCAATTTCAGTACATATTGCGTGTACTAACATGTCCTTGCCACTTCCATGAGAACCAGTAATGAGGAGAGATTTAACAAGAGGAGCCATTTGGTGTATAGTGTTGGATCCCAAAGGCAACACACAATATTCAAGAATTACTTGACGGAGGTCTCCTAAACAAGGCAAAGGATCTTTTCCAAGTTGCCGTAGGTCATGTGCAGCATAAGAATATTCTCCCCGAAATGCTGAGAGTGGTACTTCTGAATATTTCTTTATTATGCCATTTGTCACCAATTCTTCAAATAAAGATTCAAGAGTTCTATCAGGAGTTAAGTCTTTTTCTTTCTTCTTCTTGCTTTTTTTTCCACCTCTTCCTTTCTTCTTAGCACTTTTTCTTACCTTCTTTCCTTTACGAGCTCGATCTCGATCCAATGCTGCTTGAAGTACTTCTAGCTCCTTTCGAAGCAACTGATCCACAATTCTCCTTAATTCTGCTTCTACTTCAATGCTTTTTTCTGCTTTAATCATGTCCATGTCTGCTTCTTGAAAAGGATTGTCTGTTTCATCCCTGTATTTCCAAACATCTTGATATTCTTCAGCTGAATGAAGCATATCCATTAGGAAATTTGAGGGTTGCATCTTAAAACCAAGTTCATCTTCTTCTTCACATTTTTTTGTCTTTCCTTCTTCTTCTTTATCTTTCTTGCTTTTTTTACTTCTTCCAGAGGATAAAGTAGTGGACTTGCTTATTGTGCTCTCTGCTCCTGTGCGGGAAAAAATCAAGGCTGATCCTCCTGATTCTTCAGAGGGAATTTCAGGAAATTTGCCAGTTGCCTGCTCATACTGAATAAACCAATTACGAACTTCATCAGCAATTTCTTCTTTCATTGCTCCTCCACGATTCCTTAGAATTCTTTCTTTCTCAATAATTAGGGCTTGTTCAAATTGTTCTTGATATTCCTTTTGAACTCGATGTCTAACTTTCACCACTTCTTCAGCCTTTTGTCGAGCATCTGTCACAGTATATGTAGGCTGAAGCATTCCAATGAGTAACATTTCCTCAATTTTACGGCGTCTCATCTTACGACGTGTATTGTACCCACGCCAAACTTTCTGAATTAATCGAGCAGCAAAAGCTCCATCAACCTGTTTTCCTTCCGATGGTTCGACTTTGCTTTTCTCTTTCATTAATTTGATTTCTCTCATAAATTGAGCTCGTAATCGACCTTGGCGAGCTCTTTCATGAATCTGAATTATTGTGACAGCTTGTTCTAGTGTCAACTCTTTTTCAATTACTTCTTCTTCATAATACCCTAATTTTTTTAAGATATCTGTTATTGTTTTCCTTCTCTTAACAATTTCTGCCTCTCTTTCTCGTTTGTAATATGCCGGAACATTAACTTCTACTTCCTTAGGAGATAATTTTAATTTACATAGAATATCATCATTATAACTAAATTCAGACAAATCAAGATTCACTAATTCATGTTTTAATTCAAGTATTCGGCCAATTGTGGCATCCAACAATTTTTTTATTACTAATCTCTTTTGAGGATGTACAATTTGATCATAACACTGATCTAAATTGTTCATTGCTATGATATACTTATAATACAATTCAACCACTTGTGACTGTGCTAACTTTTTGTCCTTCTGAGGTTTTTCACCAGCTAGAAAAGTATCAAATTGTGAAGCCTCATCAAGAATATCATGAGTTTCTCTGCAAAGTTTATCATAAGTTTCATGAGACATTGTGAATAATTATAAACCTGAAAAATAATATTAACAAAAATGATTCTGCAAGCTTCCTTAAGTTGGTACAGGTTGAACAAAGTAATATAAAAAAGGTGAAATAATAATCTTCACTGAATCAAGTTACTCTATGAATATAAATTCAAACATTCAGTGACTCTTGAGGAATAAATACAACTTTAAAATATACTAATTTGAACTGAAAATGCTTATTTTATATTTAAATTTAGAATTACTGCACATGTGAGAAGACATTTACATATATTTCAATAATTAGACATTGATCACAGAACATAATCTCTATGCACTAAAATTCAATCAGAATGAAAATGAACTTTTATAGTTAATCTTTATCTCCATTGCAGTGTAATGTCGCTCACAATTGTTAGAAAACACATTAATCTCAATTTTAACTTCATAAAAAACTAGGCATTCTCAAACCCCTTATCTTCTTTGCATATACTATTGGAAAACTACACACTAGCAATTAGCAACGACACAATTAGAATGGTTGTCATGGTAACCACTGAACTGATTTGTGAACCATGGTAACCACTGAAAAACTGGGAATTAGCTAAGATAGTTTAACACATCATAGTTTACATCATAGAAAGAACATTTCAGAAACTAAAATTTGCAAAATTAGTATTACAATGATTTAAAAACAAATGTCAGTGTATAATATTACTATTTAATTACGTAACAAATAATATATATTCATTGAAAAAGAGAGGAAAAAATATTATTCATTCACTTACTAATATACCAAGTTTAGAAAATGAATTAAAAGACAACATATAAATCATATGTTATTATGCAATACAATATATTTCATTTATTTATACTCCTTCAATTAATTTTTATTTGCCGCCGAATTAGCATCAAGTGTTTTTGTTCAGCGTGAGTATGATATAATATGATGGACATCACTCGTTAGATCAATATTAAACTATTTTTCTCCGAGTTAATCTAAAATACGACCCAGGCAGAACTCAACTCCCGAGTAATTAAAAGAGGTTGGAATACCTATGCTTACATATTTAATTTTATTCCTGTTAACCAAGACACCATATACTCTTTGTTATAAGTGAATTTTTTTTTCGGCTTAGCCGAAGGTTTGGGTGATTTTGTAGTTTGTGTTGCAGCTCGCACGCATTTCGCGTTTCACTGCTAATAAGTGGCTGGAGGTTCGCGTCGGACCTTAGTCAATAACCAAATCTTTTGGCTTTTGTTTGGCATTACGCGCTCAAAATATCAGAGGGGAGTGCATGCTTGTCTTCTTTATCCTATAGTGAGGACGTGTAGAGGTAATTACTTTAGAGTTGACGGAGCTTCGTTGATGCTTGACGCCTTGTTAAACGAAAGCCGTCTCCAGTGATTATATTTCGCCGTGATTAAATTTCGCTCCGTGTTTTTAATACCAACCAGTACCAACAATCCAAAAGTGTTCTATACTCAGATGAACGTACGGAAAATTGACAGCATTCTGTTGAAACACAGTTATCGAATTGCAAATGTTGTTACAATTTAATTTTTAATATCGGAGTTTTTGAGTAGATAATAGGGTCGCAGCTGATTAAATCAATTCGCCTTACGTTTTAATCGGAGTACAAATTACTTTTTATTTCTATAAGGTTGGCTGCCATGTTTTGGTTGGTTCCGAATTCACTGTGCTCAGCAGAATCCAAATATTCGTTGTATTCGTTTCTCATGTGTATATGAAGTTGAGCGCATAGGTCAATGGTTTCAATTTATCGAAAAAAATGTATGTTATTTTGCGTTTACCTACTTATTAATTTAAATTTTTCTCTTTCTGTTTATTCGAAACAATGTTTGACCGATAACCTTCGACCCACGTGATATACCAAGTGACTTGCAGTCGACCAGAAAATACCGAATTATACTGTTCGAAGAGTTCAGAGAAAATTCAGAACAATGTTGAAAAACATAGTTGGATTGGTGACGGGTGGTGCATCAGGACTCGGGTTAGCTACCGTTCAGCGCATTGTTAGAGAAGGTGGGCGTGCAGTAATCTGCGACTTGCCAAATTCTAAAGGAAATGATGAAGCCAAGAAGCTAGGAAATCAAGCTGTATTTGTGCCCGTAGATGTCACTTCAGAGGATGAAGTTAAAACTGCTTTGCAAGTTACAAAAGATACGTTTGGATACTTGAATGTTGCTGTTAATTGTGCCGGTATTGGAGTGGCCTTCAAAACATACAATTTTAATAAAGAATTACCTCATAAATTGGAAGATTTCAGTCGTGTTCTTATGATAAATACAGTAGGCACATTTAATGTTACACGTTTAGCAGTAGGTTTAATCGGTAAGAATGAGCCAAACAAAGATGGTGAACGAGGAGTTGTGGTAAACACAGCTAGTGTTGCTGCATTTGATGGACAAATGGGACAGGCAGCTTATGCTGCAAGTAAAGGAGCCATTGTTTCTATGACTTTACCTCTTGCCCGAGATCTGGCATCTCAAGGAATTCGTGTCTGTACAATTGCTCCTGGACTGTTTGACACTCCGTTGCTTCAAGCTCTCCCAGATAAGGTGCGAAGTTTTCTTGCAAGGACTATTCCATTTCCACCAAGACTAGGAGATCCAGATGAGTATGCTCTTCTGGTTCAGTCAATCATTGTAAATCCTCTATTAAATGGAGAAGTAATTCGTTTGGATGGTGCCTTGAGAATGCAAGCTTAGTTAAAATATATTGGAAGTTGAAAGGGTACTTGTTAACCATATACAAATTTGTTTCGTCAATTATTCTTTGTACACTTAATGAAATCTGGACGGATTTGTATATTTTTTAGCGTTGCCAATAAATTTCATTTCACCTTATTTATAATTTTTGTTTTGTCTGCTAATGTTAAGTTAAGCACAGAATTATTTATCAAAAATTTCAATTTTGAATGAAATGAAAACAAAAACCTAGTTACTAAAGGAATGCTGGTGCAAAAATTAAAAGCATTCCAAGATCCTAGCGGTTCCCATGGAATCTAAAATCACATGTGCTACTATTTCCTTTGTGGAAACAGAAAATATGATGCTGATTAAATAATTTCTTGATTCATATTGGCAGTGACTTTAAGGACTTAGTGTTAGAAGAATATTATATTATATGAATTGTTAAAATGTCATTGCAAAAAAGGTGAACCTTTTTTAATAATTATTTGCACTTTTTGAAATTCCCATTTTGTTCCTTGGTTTTGCTTTTGAATATGCTATTCATGAAATATTAATGTGCTTTAATAATCGTACTGTGAGAAAATATTATTTGTTCAAAACCTTTTTAAAAATTACAAACTCTGATGTTGGTAGTGGAGATGACAAAATCCACGTTTAATTACTTGCTGAACAAAAGAACCTACTTGAAGTGGAATATTATCAGTAGAGAATGAAGTAAAGTTGACTCCTGCCAAAAGTTCATCACCTGGATAATGTTAAATACAAATGAATGACGAGGAGGGTTAGTACACAAGTAGTTTGGGTATTAATAATAATAAATTGGTTACATAAATACAGCATATGCCATTATGATATGTCAGGATTTGTGTATAATCATACAAACGTGCAAAACAGGTATTTCTAAAAATTAAATGCAAGACAAATTAAAATTCAATTCAATTCAATTCTTGTACTAAACTCACTATAGTGGAATGCCTATTAATTTTACAGATGGTAGTGTAAAAAGATTTTAAAAAAAACAACAATAATAAAAGGGGGAAAAAAGTCTTCATAGGAGATTTGTGCCTATGCTGGGTCTGTCCTTTATATCCAACAACCAGTTGGGGGAGGGGTGCAGAGGTTAAAAACACCTACAGAAAATGAAAAAAAATTTAAGTACAATTTTATATTGTTGTAGATGTATGATTTTTATGACGTATATATTATTTTGTAATGTAGAATTTAACAGGAAAACTTTCAGTTTATTTTTGAATTTGTGTATAGGGTTTAGACTTTTAAATTCACTAGGGAGTTTGTAATATAAGATTTGTTCCAGCAAACAATCACGGACAGTTTTACGAACTCTCACTCAGCGCATGCCAGGGCTGGTTCACTCAATGTAAAATACTCTCCGGTTAAAAGGCGGGGGACTAAGTTTGTTTCCTCAGTCACGGGCCCGGTGCAGATAGCGCAGCTGTTGCGTTTTGGCGCGCATTTTCAAAGTAAGTTTGTGCGAATTCATTGTGGTGCGTGTAGGGATTATCCAAGAATATTATCTGCTTTTCTTATGATTCAGATTAACTTGATTTAAATAATATTTTAAAATATTGTATTATATGTTTTTACTTAAAACCAAAATTGTAAAGTGATTTATTTATTCTTAATTAGCAGAAAAAAATGAAAACATTAAGTTTTAAATTGATCATTACCTTATTGTTTTAGTTTTTTTCTTTTCCCAAATAGATACTATACATTTGAGGGATCTGGTGCAATACCGCCCTAACCCACAAAATCTTTAAATTTGAGTACTTATAGTTTCATGCTCTTAAAACACTTCTCATGTGTTCGCATTATCGAATAAGCTTGTAGCACAACCTATTAGCATGGTTCAGAAAAATGACATTCTTCGTCCAACAAAATGTTACCATCTTTTCTGTAATATTACCTGAATCAAAAAACCTCTTACTGTTAAAAACAACTGATTTCATAAAAAAACTTACAACAATATTAGACAGTTTTTGAAATATTAAAGTATATTTAATAGTTGTCCTGTCCGTTCCCTCTTAAATGGTATTTTATCAATATACACAAGCAAAAAGGTTAATATTATTAAAATTAGTAAGATTAAATACTGTGTTTATTAGTTTTAACAATATTAATTTTATTCTTAAGTAAGTATCAATAAAATTTCATTTTTATTAATGCTCATCTTCTCTAAAAGGTTATATTTTATGTGGCATTAGCAAACATTTTACTCCAAATCTAGAATTACAAATATGCTTGAAGATTTAACGTGTTTTTCTTAAACTAACTCGGTGTGTGTATTGTTCCTAAATTTGTTATTATCTACAGACAATGAAATGCTGGATAAAAACTATTATATCATCCAAGTCCATTAGTAAATAACTACGACAAATTGTTTATTCTTCATTTCATAAGCATGCTCATTTTAATGTATATTACATAGTATTTTTTTTGAGAAATAGTTCAATTATATGAAAAAGTTTATAAGAAATATGATTATTATTTGTATAAACTGTGCAATTGATTAAAGTCTTCAACTGTATAACTTATTTTTTCAAATATTACAAATAATAAATATTAATTTTAAAAAAATCAATGATTTAAGTTATCATTTGATGTAAATCATGATTGAAATCATACCAGCCTTAAGTTTTGGTGACATTTTTTAGCCAAAAATAGAATTGTAATTTTGATACAATATCATTCATTGATTCAGTGACTATTTTGGGTAAGTCTTTGAAAACCAAGGAAAATGAAACAAATGTATAAATTATACTAGTTTTATGTTTGGCAAGTTGATTCGTCTTCTAGTTAGTAATAACATACCAGTAAATATGCTTAGTGTTCTGGGATTAAAGAGGGAATTTGCATTGTTTGCAAAATAAATCTTTTATGAAATGAAAATTTGTGGAAGATATAGCAATTTTAATTTGGCCTGTTTCCCCCAAGTTTTAGGCAATCTTAACTTTAAAATAAACAATTGGCACAGATATCTTCTGTTTAGGCTGCAATACAAGATTTTTCATTTTCTATAGCTATCTGATTGGTCACTGCACATCATGACAATATTTCCACAAAGTCCACACAAAAACTATCCTCATTGAAACCTACACATGGGCAGAACAATACTGAATTGTGCATGATCTGGGCTGGTATGCCCCGGGAAGACCACGACAAGATGGTCGAAACGTCGGCAACATAGTCTTCAACGCGGCGTCACCCGGACAGCTCAGATCACGCACATGACTCTGGCCGCGGAAGCCTACGACTTCACAATACTGAATTGTTACCGATGACAGAATTTTGACGGTATATGTAGAAAAATTGGATTATATTTTTACTATGACTTTCAATAATATTATTACAGGATTTATTGTTCATATGTTCAGTTCTTGTCTGGACGTCGTAGCGAGCGGACGTGTCTTGGGGATTCGTCTCTGTTCTTTTCCAAGGGGGTAAAGAGATAATGGGCTGCGACCTGCAGGCGTACCGGCCCGCATCGGCGGCTGCCGCGCCGCGTGGGCGTGCGTGCTGAGAAAGGGGTTAGCGTTCCTGCTCCTTCTCTGGACGCCTTTGCGTTGCTTATTATAGCACATTAATTAATTATTGGTGGCGCCGAAATGAATCCTGGCCCGGTGTCCACGCGACGCGGCGCACCAGTAGACGTTTTGTGGAGGTGTGTCGAGTGTTGTAACGGCGTAGGTGGTCTGCCGCGATGAACTGGCGCGTCCTTCGACAGGAGTTCCTGAAGGTAACGGCGAAGCTGGCTGCAACTCAAAAGGAGCTGCAAAATCTGAGGGTAGCCACAAGAGTGCCTGAGGTGGAGAGGGCAAGCAGAGTCCGCAACGGAAGTTTGCGGAAGGAAGCAAGGAATGCAAGATCATCAGCTGGATATCATCAGCTGGAGCATCAATACAGGAATCGCTCTACTCCGGGAGTGGAAGGGATGTCATTTATGCGCAGGGAAAAAGGAGTGGGGAGAGAACGGCGACCTGTGGGACGCCGGCTTGGATGGGATAGTTGCGGGATTTTGTTTAGTAATATTGGACGTAAAAGGATCGGTGGGTGAGGTAGCTTTGGAGTAGAGAGTGGACGTGGTCAGGGATGTGGGGACGAATTTTTGCTAGGAGGATTGGATGGGATATGGTGTCATAAGTTTGGGTAAGATCTGTAAGAATAGTGGGGATTTCTTTGCAGTCTTGGAGGGGGATGGCTATAGATAGGGTTAGATTAAGTTTTTGAAGGGCCGCTGAGCTACCTTTGTGGAAGCCGAATTGAGATTGGTCAATGATTGGGTCGATTACTTTTTCAAATATTTTGCTTAGAATTGAAAGAAGGCTTATGGGTCTGTAGTTAGTGAGGTGCCGATGAGCTTTGCCAGGTTTAGGAATCATGGACACACGGGCTGTTTTTCAGACTGAGGAGAAGTAAGAGAGTTTGAAACAGGAGTTGAGGATGAGGGTAATGATGTCTATAGCATTCTTTGGAAGGTTGCGGAGTTGGGTGGGACGTATACCATCGGGTACGGGGGCTTTTGATTGATGTCATTGTCAGTATCTGTCTAGTTTCCGTATAGTTATTCAAGGTAGTTTGCTGGTTGAGGGTATTGTAGGGGTTCTCGAGGCGTTTAGAAGTACATTTTGAGGAATTGGAATATTGGGGTGGCGTAAACGGTCGGCCAGGGCTTGGGCGAAGGTGGCTGCAATAGTTTCGGGGTCAAAAGATAGGGAGTTTTGGTTTGTGTAAAGGGCGAAACTCGGATTGGGGTATCTTGTACTGCCTTAATTTGTGAATGTTATTGGGGATACTCTTGTCATTAAGTAAGTCGTTGTATTTGTTCGTTTCGTAATTCTGTAGAAGTGAGTGAACATGTCTTTGAGTCTGTTTTAGAAGTTTTTTGTTCTCGTCTCGTCTGTGTTTGTAGAATCGTCGCTGTATTTGTCTCTTCAGTCTGATAGTATTATTTCGTCGGGGAGAGTAAGGTGTAGTTGCTTGTTGTGAGTGCTGGTTCG